CCGTTCGCTGTTTTTCTGTTTATTGGATAGAGCTTGTAAGGAAAGTTTTATTATAACGGACGCTTTATAAGTGACTGATAATAATATATTTGAAATATATATATGTGCACATATGTATGTGTGTGTGTGGTGTATGTGTGTGTGCGCGCGTTGTAATGCTCTGCCACACCCCGTCTGGAGCCCTTGTCTAAAATTTTTTGAACACAAAGAAAATATTTTACCTGTTAAACATGCATTGAAGTGTTTCAAGCGTTAAAGTGCATCCCGTTGGTGAACGATATGTCGTACAGTTTTGTGTCGTCTTTCAAGCGTACAAAAACCTTAAGAAGGTTATATAGATATATTTCTAATATATAATTATTGGATTAAATTGACTGAAATTGTCTGAAATTGACTTGTAAATTATAATAGTTGTTATTGTAATGTAAGATTTAAACATTGTGGTCCAAGATTTGCCTAGTAATTTTAGTTTTTTGTTTCTCTTTCATGTGATTCTTTATAGCGCCAGTTTGTACGTGCATCGTCAGTCTTCTCGATAGCTTAGTCGTTGTCATACCAATATATTCGGACATTTATTATACCAATATTACATTTGAACGAATGTAATATATTCGATATTATCGATTCTGGCTTACTAGTGCAGTTGTTTTTCATCACGAGAGATTACGTTTTTTGGTTGGAGTATTATTAGTAGAAACGGTTGTATTAAACTATAATACGAATATATTACTCAGTTCTTTGGTTTGGTTGGATATAAAAATCGTATATAATAAGTAACATCTTCAATATATATATATATATATTTTATTTGTGGAAATATTAATATTATTATATACCTATATAACTTTTTGTCATGTAATAAAAATGCAATTTCATAATCATCACTTTTACGATCGTAATCGACGCGCTGAGGATCACTTAATCCGCATGAATGTTGGTGAAGATGTTATTTTCAAGAGTTTTTATTGCAGTTAGTTAGTATTGCGTCAGATTTTATTTTCATCGTGTTTACGGTGGCGTAGTGAATTATTACATTTGCATGTAAAAAACGAGAGGTGAAAGATAAAGCGAGCTAACACAATAAGACCAATTTAGTTCGGTAACTTATATGCTCACGTATATAAATATATAAAGAACGTGCTCACACACATATATATATTTTTATAACTACATTTCTTTTGTTTCTTCATCGTCAGCGGAAAATATTATACAAAAGATAAAAAACTGTATCTTGCAAGTTTTTTTTGTCCCAATTGGTGATATTCTGTGACTGTCTGATTAGCTAATTATTTTCGAATATATATTTCATCCGAAATAAATATGGTTTATAAACTCGTTGGCTATTTATCGTTTACTACTGTTTTTCTATGTTTGTTTCTAACTATTTCTTTTCTAAAATGACTTTAAAACTTCTTCACTTATTTGAGTTATGATTTTGTGCGATACCTACAAACAAAAAAATATTTGTAAAAATTAAAAAAAGTGTTATAATCGCATGACATTTCTAAAAAAAAATTTTTGACCCCGTTTTTTGGAACACTTCGAAAACCACTTCAAATTTAACTTTAAGAAGTATTAAAAATGATATTTTGCAAACATTTTACAAACTTCAAATGTAATGTATTTCAGCTTGATAATTTAATCAAGTGTTCTGTCTTTTTGTATATTTGTCGCTAGAATTTTATTGTTCTGCTGCACGATAGCTTCTATTGTCTTCATCTATTTTGTTTCAGTCATTCAAATAGATGTTTTCATTATGTAAGGGCCTGAAAAGTATGACTCACAAAAACATTGCTTTCACAATTTTAGGTATATGTTTAAGTTTGATCCTTTTAAATTCAAAAACACCAGAAGTCTAGTCAAATAGGCAAGGTATTGGGACATCAGATCTTCACAGAGGTTTTTTCATTATATAATGTTATGATTTTTTTTAAATAAGGTAAAATATGATTATATAACGTTACTTTATAGATGATAATTATAGCACAAAGGTTTGATCGGAAAACAATATTATTAACAGCTTTTCTAAAAATATTCAAGCTCTAACAGCAAGTTTCGGCACAGTGATTTTAAACCTGTAGGTTGATTTGCTGATCGTTCGTCAAAAGTTTTTTTTGATAGAAATGTCTGCTGTACAGTACACGTATAAACGTTGCTGTGTGCACCTAGATATGCAACGGCTGCGGAAACTTATAATTTAGGACGGAATTAAATTGTTTTAAAGCACCAAGATTTTTCGGGCGTTGCAATGATTAGACTGGAATGCCTAACAGTCATTTCAGTCATATGTAAATATACATGTACGTGTGTATGTATATAAGTATGTATGTATGTATATGTACGTGCTACATTTATCACACTGCATTGTTCTTATCGCGCGTTGCCAGACATTCTGAAAGAGAGTCAAGTTAAATAAACGATTAATCAGATTTGATCTGGTTGAATTGGAGCAGGATTAATTGATGGCAATGCAATTTGATATGAAACTTTCAATCTATCAGCAGCATTTTAAAACAGTTTTAAACATTTTTGCGTCGAGTAGTGTGACTATAAATAACAATAAATAATAATAAACATCTTAAAAATTGTGTACGCCTGTTATGTTATTATTGAGTCTTGAAATAACCAATTGAATGAAAACTGTGACGACAACCCACGGAACAAAATAAAGTTTCATCTAAAAAATGTAATTAACAAGAAGATCAATTAGCTAAACTTGCCCCGTCGTTTGGAAACAACTACTCTTGCTTATCGTGGCAACAAAAGTATTAATGAGTCATGCAATATCACTTCTTGCACCGCTCGTCGTCGATGGATGCTACTAGAGTCACCTGGTTACATAAACGTTATACTAATATCAAGGAAAGCAACCACAATAGCGTGTAATAACAAGATCTACCAAACTTGAAAAATGAACACGCAAGCTCGCGCAACAGATTTCACACCTACATTTGTTAGTGTGGTAAAATGTTTATTATTAATTTTAGCGAAATAAAAATGGTTCCAATTAGTACAAGTACTATTTACAATTGGTCCTACTTGTATCAAATCAGTTTCTGTTTTCAAATCGTGAACATTCTTTAGCCTATTGTCATAAAATTTGAATTAAAAAGATTTGCTTGTGTCTGATTGAATAAATTGATTGACCTTGTTTGTTGAGCATTTCGGCCAATGTACTTCAGTTTTAACAGACTTATTATTTTTAGGCGAACCATCTCGTGAACGAACAAATTTTCTTGAACATAAGTGCATACATAACGTATATACATTGCACACACTCAGCACTCCACATGGAAGCCTAAAAATTGCAAGTCATACACTAAGTTGCATTAGTTTTCGTAAATGTGGCTCTGTGCAAATTATAACAAAGGTAATAATTATGATTTATTAACGTCCGAGAGGATTTCAATTTTACCTAGTACTACATTATTTTAATCTAAGTCATCGAATATACATGTAAATAATACAAATAAAATAGAAGCACTGCAAATTGAGGAACATAACGATGTTGAGTTTAGACACAGACACAGCCAACTCATATATGTAGAGAATGGCTCATTAAATTTGAGTAGTTATGTTAGAACTGTCATGCCGTAGTACTGACTAGGCTAAATGATGACAAGATAGGTCCGTGCTTTTGTAAATCCACTGATTACTAGTCGCATTCTGACATTGTGTCAGTTGCTCTGCATGTATATGTGGTTAATTGTCATTAATATTGCATCGCCCAATGACGACTTTTTGCATGAAGTTTACGAGTATCTTCATTTTCCTCTTGGTGTTTTCGTTTCATTTAATGAGACAAATACGTCAACTTTCACGATCGCCGTCGTTTGCTGCTCGTTAGTCCTTCTCTCGCTTTTGCATATTTTTTCACAAGGTATCGTCTTATGTGTTACTAATTTGAATTACAGATGTTATATATATATATATATATATATATATATATATATATATATATATATATATATATATATATATATATATGACTAAATAAGTTTGTTAATATCCGATTTATAACGGTTATATATGATTTGTTCATTTAATAACACAAGTTGTCTTTGGTTGATTTTGATGATCACACTTATGATGCTAATTAACTTGGCGTCCACTTTCAGCTTTTCAACAAAGCCAATTGAAACAACATGCAAACCTTTTTCAGTCAACGTGTCAAAAAGTCTGCAGCATGAAAATAAGATCAAAAGATGAGGTGTTGCAAACAAACCAATTTCTTTCACGTAGAATGATAACTTTAACATGAAAATTCGCGTTTAGTGTAAATTGAGTTTTGTGTCAGTTCCATATTAGTATTTTTAAATTAATGTTTTCATGTAATCATCATCATGTATGAGAAAGTCATGATATAATTGTTTCATTCTGCTAAAATGGCGCTCGATTTTCATTGGTTGATATGGCTGCAGAAGGCGGAGCTTGTGACTCATTTAAAAGTTTTGTCATGGACAGAGGGCTAATAATCATTTGGCATCGTATACATTTCATATACACATTAGTGCATTACATTCAAATGCTTTCTTGAGAAGTATCTATACTAATCCGAGAATGCATAAAAGCACCAAGATTGAACACTGTTTTGTTTCATCTTAATAACTTTTCAATTGTCTGTTGAAAACATTAGTTATTTCAAATGTTTTCTTCGTATTTCTGCAAAAACTACAAATGTCATTTGAGAATGACATTTCTTGAGTATTACCTCTATTCGTTACCTCAATATCAAATCGATAACAACAAGAAATCATGTTTTGAATTATTTTCATTCAATGGTCTCCAAGCTACGAGGAAAGTCATCGGTATTTATTAAAAACGTAAAAATAAATATTAAATAGTTTTTGATTGATCATTATCGTTAATTTCTCGCATGAAATTAATTAAAGTGTTTGCGTTTGTTTATAAGTTTGACGAACTTGAGCATACATGTGTGGTGCGGTTCACGAAAATTTTTATGCAATAGAAAATTATTTTAATTTAATTTTTTATTTGAAGAATTTGACGGCAATACTGTTCTGTGCCGTGTTTGCGGGGACCGTGCCAGCGGATTCCACTACGGGGTGCATGCTTGTGAGGGATGTAAGGTTAAACATTTGCAGATATATTTTGCAGGTTCTAGCCATTTAAAATTTTTACGTTTATTGCCACGCAAAATTAATTTGAGGTATATGCTTGAAAAACACAAGGGTTTCTTCAGAAGAAGCATCCAACAGAAAATACAATATCGTCCTTGCCTGAAGAACCAGCATTGTCTTATAACAAGAGTTAACAGAAACAGATGCCAATATTGCAGGTCAGTAGTTTCAACACATTTTTAAACCTCTTTGGTAAATGATTTTGTCTTAGTTCGGTTCAACACGCAAGTTGTTCCAGATGAGTGGAATTTTCTTGTTTAATATCAACCTAATTTTGTAATCTTTCCACATTTATCAGGTTAAAAAAATGTATATCGATCGGGATGTCGAGAGATGGTAGGTGTAACTTCAGTTTTTTTAAATTGAAAAGTAATGTAAGATAATTTCCTTTGTAGCTGTAAGGTTTGGAAGAGTTCCGAAACGGGAAAAAGCCAAGATATTAGAGCAGATGCATAAAGTTAATTTGCAGTGCAGGGAAATGTCTACAACTGACACTATTCTATCTGATGGTAAAGAATTCAGACGATTGATCGTTGAAGCACACGAACAGACTTGTCGTTTCACCAAAGAAAAATTGTCAAAATTTATTGAAGATTCAAGATCGAAAGCCTATTTTGTTAACTGCTCGTCACTTATGGTTAGTATTGGTCTATTAAAAAAATTTGATGTTTGTTTCTAACGTAGAACAATATAAAGTTTTTAATTTTCTAAATTAAAAATTTACCGTGTCAATTCATTAACAGATACGTTTTGCTTTTTATTTGCAGTCTATTTTCTTTTTTGATGAAAAATAGATCACCTCAATAAATGCTTTATTATTTATTAACGAATTCAAATCACCTTATGTTCTCAACTTTTTGTTAAAATGTTTATTAGGCTTGTCCTCTGAACCCTAACCCAGAATTTGAACATTCGACAGCTGATCGTTGGAATCAATATTCAAATGGATTCATGCCCGCTATACACAACGTTGTTACTTTTGCTAAACTTATTCCTGGCTTCTCTTCGCTTTCTCAGTCTGATCAAGTAAGTTCCGAATATATGAAACAACATTTAAGCCCTATTTTAAACAAATTCATATACATTTATACCCCTTGTTCAATTAAAATCATTGTGACCATCTATTCTTTACCGACAATAATTTTGAGAAACATTTATAATGTACGCTTAGAATGATATCATTGCAGTTTATTTATATAGTATTAATCAATAAATTTTGTGTGTTATACAATCATAATACATTTTTTCCTTGAATAATAGAGTTTTTCTTAGTTGTCCTTGTAGATTGAAAGTGTAATAATAGTTACTGACATAATTAGTTACTCTGACAATTCAATGAATAGACATAATTAGTTACTCTGACAATTCAATGAATAGAAATATTTTGGTGGCATTAGCTTAATTAGACAGATATTTAAAATAAATAGCTTTTTCGAGAAAAGTTAAATCAAATGTTTTCCAAAAGGTTTTTAGAATTGCAAATACAGGATAACTGTTTTATTTCAGATAGTTTTACTAAAAGCAGGAACGTTTGAGCTTCTCCTTCTACAACTCTCCAGTCTTTTTGAATCCAAATCGGACCTCATGTATTTTGTAAATGGCAAGATATTCAAGAGGAGTTCGCTGTCTGTTAGTTTATCAATTTATTTGTTTCAAGTTTTTTCATTTTGTTTCATTGCAACTACAGTTTCAGAAATATTTAAAAAAAAATCAATGTATTAGCAAGTTAAAAATCTACAATTTTAAATATTGCGTAAATGAGTCTTAACTCGTAAATTGAGATGGTTGCATGCGGATGAAAATATTTCTTAAAAATTGATAAACATAGAAAGGATACAAAATTGAAACAGGAAAAGTATATTTTTTTTATATTTGTATATATCTTATTTAAAATAATAAACCAAAGTAAGAAAAAAACAATAAACAGAGAAAAATGTTTTTTCAATGTCGTAGGTTGCCGAAAAACAAGCTAAAACGCCTAAAAATAAATCAAACAAGCTACAGAAATGGAATAAAAAAAACCATATTCTTATCAGTATGGTATGGCTGCTAGTGAACCGAAAACGGCATTTTTAATGTCATCGCTCAAGCGTTAGGGAAATGATCAAAACAACATATCTTGTTTTAAATCACAAACAGGGCGAAATGTGTAGGTTAGGTTTGGCTGACAAATGTGTGTATGTGCTGTAGCTCTTATTGTTTTCACTGAAATGGTATGAGCCAAAAGAGTTATTAATTTTTTTTATATCAGTTGAACAACTGATATCTGAGATCAGTTGTTTAAACTATTAAGTTTACATACATTTTCAATTGGGCACATATATGCATACACATTTCCATAAAGCTTGATAACTTGTTGTGCAATGACATTGCAATAACTTGACGCTTCGGTAAATTTTTGAACAGTCAATCACAGGGTCAGGGTACCTTTTGGACTCAATTTTTGATTTTGCTGAAAGATTGTGTTCGTTAGAATTAACCGATGCTCATATGGCACTATTCTCCGCTTATATTCTTCTGTCTCATGGTGAGAAATTAATTTTTTTTATGAATATTTCAAAATTAAAATTTTTGTTTTTTTCTTCGGAAAATCATGTTTAGTTTTTATGATTAAAGAAAGATCTAATTTTCGTTGTAAATTTTTTCTCAGTCCACGAGTTTATAGTTTTTCTTTATTATTGATCATCTAATCTTTATCAGTATTTTTAATTGTTAAATAAAATGCAACTTCAACTAAAAAAATGTTATATATTTGATTATCATTGCAAATACATTAATACCAAATGATGAACATTATGAGGTACCGTTTTAAATTTATATGTTTTGGAAAGTGTAAATTCACTATATTAACTTGCATTTAGTCTCGCTTTTTGGTAAACCGCACAGTTTAATTACCTCAATTCGAACGTTAATTATAGAATTATTTCTCAAAATCTTCATTTTTAACTTCTGATAACACTTTTTAACTGCGTTTGAAAGTAAGCCGTTTTTAAAATGAAATAGTTTGTTGAAAATTGATAAAAAAAATTGATCAAAACTGCTGCAGATAGGCCTGGTCTTAACAATGTTGGTCTTGTGGAACAGGTTCAATTGTCAGTTGGTCAATTGTTGAAAAGTGAACTGAACAGCACTTACTTATTTGATAAATTGTTATCAATAATACCTGAAATGAGATTACTCAATACCGTTCACTCTGAAAAGCTGCTCGGTTTGAAAATGTTTACAATTTTCTCTTTAAATATATAATATAAAACTTTTTCTGGTGATGCAAAACCCAAACACGCAATTATTCAGGCCTCCCCGTGCCTTCAACATGTTCTCATTATTCAGCATCGCCTACATCGCGCCTGTCACCTGTCTCAACTATTTCATCGATAATGTCGCATACGACATCAGTGCCTAAATTGTCGGCTATAGAACAATCGAAAATATTTTGGTCGCAGCAACAACATCATATTATTCAACAACAACAATTATATTTGCAACAACAACAGCTTGAGATGGCGCAGCATCATCTGCAAACAACAAATGCACCATCCGTTTTATCTTCTTATTGCAAAAATCAACCAGATTCGAAATACCAGCAAGAAAAGAAAAATGATGACAGTGATTATCTTTCAACATTAAACAAAAACTGTAGCGATAATATGTACGTTTTAAACGTTATTTATTATACCAATTCAGTTATTTTATGATTTGATGTTGTAACAAATTACTACAGAAATTCAATGCCAAAACTTGAGTCTATTCCAGAGCGTAAGAAAGATAATTTTTATGGCGAACACAGAACTGATTTTATATCAGTTCATGACAAATCAGAGACTTTTCAAAACCTGATCATCAATGGATACCATGAAAACAACCCATCAACACACCAGGTCGTTTTGTCGACATCATTAGGAACATTTCATAGAACCTCATTAGCTCCATGGTCAACTGAGAACAGATTCGTAAATAACACTGTAAATATGAATGAATCTAGTTCTACTTCTTTATTGACAACATACTTAGCATCATCGTCTCCGATGAAAATGTCAGCATGTAAACGTTCAAGTGATCAGAAACTTGCAACAAATCAGCAGTCCGTGGATGATGATCGAGCTGCAAAATTTCTTCGTACGAATACTCCTGTTAAAACGAATCAACTCAAACTTAAAAAACAAAAAGTTATATATTTTTTTAATAACTTCATCTTAAATATATCTTTTATGAAAATTTTAAGTTTCATTAAAGTTGAAATTTGAAAAAGTCTGATTTAGTCTTTTTTGAACTTATTTCAAAATTTGTTTACAATTAATTTTTATAAATAATTTTAAGTTTAAATTAAATTTTTCATGTATAGTGGAGTTCGGAAGTGGTGCTGGATAATTTGGATTCAACATTAGACAATGAACATCTAACACAAACACCAACGACAGCATCATTAATCGAAGTTCCATGTAAACAACCACCTCAGTCCAGTCATCAAAGCAGCACTTTTCCAACAACTACCTCATTAATGGTTCTGCTTAATTCACTTTCTTCTAAAATAGAAAACCAGTCACCAATGCGCACTTTAACGCCAGACATCAAACCTCGTATTTCTTCACACGCGAAATCTCACGAAGAATTTGATACAGGAAGACGTTATATCAAAAAAGAAGTCGAAGAATTAAATGAGGAACACTCGAATGCGGACTGCAGCCATTTGCCAAACTTTCAGACACATTCGAGATTTCTAAATAAGACTGAAACCGAGACTGACGATAGGACAGATGATCAGCAAACTTCTCTGATTTTGGAACCGACAGACATGACCACAAATCAGATCAAAACAGCTACAAGCCAATATTTACCATATGTTACATATTCTCCTATTGTTTTGCAGCCTTATTGGCAAACAGCCAACAAATATTTGGGCGGCAAAGCCAGTAATTTAAGTAGATTGCAGGACAATATTAATTATGTTTCTTCTGCATTTTCTTTTCTTCCTAATTTAAACTGGGTTAACTCTCCTTTTGTTAGATCTCCGTTGTTCTTGCCTGTTAATGAATGTGCCTCATCATCCACCGCGGTTACAAAAAATTCGGATTTAGAAAACTGAAAAATCCAAAACACTCTCAAATATATTTCATCTCAATAGTAAATATTAATTGCTTTTTCAAAACAAGTTTGTCAAAATTAATAAGTTTAATTAGACAGAATATAGATTAAAAGATTAAAAAAAGATTGTTTCAATTTTTATATTATATTTTTTGTTAAACTAAGTTTTCATCTACCTGCTGGCCTGAGTTATCTTAGAAACTGTTCAGACCAAAACAACTAACTAACACTTGTACATAAACAATAAAAAATTTATTTTTTTAAAATTTTCATCGGACATTTTAGGGCATTAGATTAATTTTATTTTATTATTATTGCTATTATTATTAAAATGATTTACAACCGCGAATTTGTTTAGTTCATAAAGTTTAAAAAATACTATAAAAATGTCATTTTTAAAATTTGGTTGAAATGTTGACAATTTTTTTTACCTATTCCAAATCACTATTAAAATTGTAATTGATGTTGAAAAATTTTAGTTAATCCTTAATGAACCTGATGAAATCTTTTAAAAATTTGTTTCTAAACATGCATTTGAAACATCAGTTTTATTTATATTTATGGTATGAATGACTTTTTGGAGATTTTGTTTTCAGCATCTGGTATTTAGTATAGATGGACATATCAACATCTCATGATAATACTAAACCGTTTTTTATCAAAAATTTTTGTTTGTTTGACTTTCAACGACGTACCGGTGAAATTTGTATTCAAAATTTTATCATTTTATTATTTTGTTCAATTTGTTAAAGTACATTAATAAGCAAAACATCTTTTTGTGTTTATATATATATATATATATATATATATATATATATATATATATATATATAAAATGAAGTGTATATATGTATATATTGCGATATTATTAAAATTCAACAATATTAAAATTCAACAATTTATTATGACTAATGATAGTCATTGTTTTCATATAAATATTGTTAAGTAGATAATCTGGTATTTGATAAAATTTTAAATTTTCTTTCATTATGATTTTACTGAGCAGCATGCAGGTTTCTGAGCCAGTATTTTAATTGTTAAAATGGTGATTTAATATATTTTTGAGTGCAAATGTTATTGAACTGTAAATTTTAATGTGTTTTTCTTCTTTTATTAAATTCCAACTTTACATTTCAAAATTAAAAAACAAAACAAAATAAATTTTAGTAAATTAATCTGCATTTTTATTGCTTTTTTCTTCTGGCATAATTTTCATTTATTTTCTTTGGGAAGTCTATCAATTCTAGTGAAGTTGAATGTAACGTGTAGTTAAAATTTTAATAATAAATGTTGTTTTCAGAAAGTGTTTTTATGTTGTACCTTCATCATAATTTTTGGTGTTAAAATTTTGGGTAATAATCCTGATAACAGTAAAATGTACACACACACACACACACACACACACACACACACTTATTTTACCAAAAATTATGAAAAAAATTACGTTTGAGCTTTTTCTAGTTCGTCACATATGATCCACTTCTTATACCTTTTTGCCACATCATAAGCTGTTTCTTCATTTAATGTTTTTAAATTTACATCTGCTCCTTTATTCAGTAAAACTTTTAAGCAATCTAATTGAGACCACATAGCACTGTAGTGCAAAGCAGTATAACCTAGCAAACAATTTTTCCTTTATCTGTTTATTAATTTTTTTAACATTTTACAAAAAATTTCAAATGTTTTCCAATTCAAACCATTTTCGTTTGCTGAGTTAACGTTAACTCCCTTATCAAGCAATTCAATGGCAAAACCTGCTTGTCCTTCAATGCAGGCACAATGCAAAGGATATCGTCCTCCAGCTTTTGCAGGTTTGTCCAGCAACGTTGATACCCCGGGGTTTTGTTCCAGAATTTGATTAAACACCACAATGTTTCCAGTTCTGGAACAATGAAAAATCATATCAACTATTTCGCATAAATCTCTTTCTGAAAGAGAATTTATTTCAAAATTTGATTCTTGTTTCTGTTTGTTGTCAACTAATTTCTGTAAAAGTTACAAAACAGTTTAGAGCTTTTCAAACTAAACTTAATCTAATTTTAACAGATTTTCATCCAACCAATACTCTAGTTTTAATATTAACTTATTCATACTTTTTTCGAGGACATGATGGTTGCTATGGAAACGTTTTTTAATTCAAAAAATATTTTAAAAGTAGATTCCTTGCTAACTTAGAAAATATTAGCCTGGTTTTATTGTTCTTTTTGACACCATGGAATCATTTGAGACACATATATATGCGTTATGATATTTATAACTTAGAATGTATGTGAATTTTTTGCTTCAACTGACCTTGCGGTTTGAGATTTGGTGCAGTTTGTTTCCAAATGGAATGATTTTGAATCTCATTCGCACACACAAGACATTTTGTAGACTTTTCTAAAGCTTTCATTACATCGGACAGATCCATTCATCTTGTTTATGTTGTTTTATTACGATGTCCGTGATATAAGTCATGTATTATTTCTTTGCAACCTTTCATGTTGATAACAATGTTTTTATTTCGCTAGAACTAGACCCGGATCTACTTTTGTTGATGATGCTTTTTCCCAGGCTCAATAGTACTGCTCATTATATATATATATATATATATATATATATATATATATATATATATATATATATATATATATATATTATTGATGTTGACATTTTTAATTCGTCAAAGCTCATTTTTGCCAGATGATACCGTAATTTTGAGGCAAAATACCATGGATATATATATATATATATATATATATATATATATATATATATATATTCGATTGTTAGATTACGTCGGTTTCAACGAACAAGATCGCGAGCAGCAACTGCTCCATCTCTCTTTCCAATATATATATATATATATATATATATATATATATATATATTATATCCATGCAAAATACTAGTAGTTTGATTTTAATCAACACTTCAATGACTTTTTGCAGCGTTTTTATGAGAGGTGTTCAGCAAGCAAACTCAAGATAAACAGCTCCAAATGATAGTTACTCATTTTATTTAGATTCAAAATACAACAACATTAAATTATTCGAATAAATTTGAGTAAATTTTTGGGTGTTTACCTTGTAACCAATTTATCATGGATTGAGCATATTAATTATATTTCATACCAAATTTAAACAAAACCGGAACATTTTGCACAAGCTGAAACAAATAGCCCACTTAAATAAAATTTGTATACTATACTTTGAATACAATTTAGAACCTTCATCCAGCTGTATTTAAATTAGTGTCTGATCGTGACTGTTTGTGAAAATTTATGTGAATCTCATATCAATATTTTGACAGTCTCAAGATAATTTTTTAATAATTTTTTGACTAGTTTTTCTAATTTTCTTATGCTTTTTAAAATTTTTTCAATCTAATTGCTATTTTCTTAAAATTATTTGTAAAGCTGGCAGAATAATTAGGAATAGTTTGTTTTTCAAGTAACGATTTATTGTTTTTATTTTTTTTCAACGTAAATAACAACATTGGAATAATATGCCAGTGTACTTTATGTAAGTACTTTTTTTTACATTTTAGACAGTTTTGGTCGATTAGAAATATTTTCTAAACTAAAATTTTTGAAAATCTCGTAAGTAAATCGATTTTTTCAGGTTTTTTAATTTGCAGAGTTTAAAGTCGTACAATTTTATCCTAACATCTTCCTTTCTCTTACAACAGCATTTCTCTTACTTCTAAAATATTTTTTTACTCCTAATGACAGACATCTTCCCTCTTCTACAAAAACATTTCTTTTAAAACATTGTGATCACGTTCACCCAACTGAAAGATTGAAATGTTTGCTATATCTCATACACCTCATACACACACTTGTGTATATTATGGGTTGTATGTGTTGTGTATGTATAATCTTTGACGGACGAATGGACAAAGTCTTCGCCTGTTTATTTCGTACAATAATAATAGTTATTACAATCAATATGAAATTACTCTTGACTTTTCCACAGCTTTTGATACTCTGAATCAGATTTCTCATGTAATCAACTCAGTCTTTCTTTCATTGCCTGATAGCGCTTCAATATTTTAACAATGAATTGGAAACAGTTTGGTTTATACAACCAATCAAACACACGCACACTCAGCAAGCAGGAAATGTTGTAAAGTGACAGCGTCGAAGTGCTGCTTGAATCTTCGCTGGAAGTAGAACATCTTCACCAACATCCAGGCCACAGGAAACATGAAATTCGAGTTGATCGTACATTTAAAGCCAATAAGTCATCTAAATAAAATAATTCCAAATGAAATAATTCTGTTGTTTTGAATAGCGGTTTCATTTTTACATTGAAATGATTTTGATGTGTAGTTAGATTTTGTTTTTTTTTTAGGGCAGAAAAGTATTTTTTTTCTTAATTTGTTTATAATCATAATAATATACAATAATGTATTTAACAACTAAGTTAGTAAAATTTCAGATCAAAATTCCCTTAAAAAGTTAAATAAAACAGAAGTGCTCGACAAACCAAACTTGAAAAACTGAACATTGATCAGAGAAGTTTGTTAGCAAATGTACGCTATTAAACGTTATCGTTTAAGTTAGCATATTAAGAATTTTCGCGTTTGTTTTTACTGCAAAAAATCAGACTGTTTAACAAAGGAAGCAAATATTCATAAAGAAATGATGTTCGATACGTTGATTACGGTTGTGCATAGATTTATGTGTATAAATATCTGACAACAGGTGGTCACAACAACTTGGTGTTACGCATATATTAGCGTACCTATCTACATTTACACCTACATATATGTATGTGTTCAGCTGTTTTTCTGTTCATTGCTAATAGTTGTTACATACTCTCCGTTTCAATTTAACCATATAATTTACGTTTGCACGCTTCACAAATTTTGGTGTTAGTTTGTCGTTAGATTTCTGTTGTTTAACAGGTTGGTGCTAATTGAATTTTCATATATTTCGCCAAGTATATTATTTGCTCTGTATACTATTATCTAATATTCGTCATTAAACAAAAAAAAATTTATTTATAAGTGTTAAATGCATAAATAAATAAAAGAAATAACTCATTTGTTGTTAAAAATTTTTTACATTTAAAAAATGCAATAACAAAGTTATGAATGGAGAAAATCCGAAGAATTGGGCGAGTTTGAGAACGAGATCGTGCAATGTGTTCCTTCTTGGGCTAATAATATTTTACATGGCTTACGTGCTGCTGGGTGCAATGATATTCATGTTTCTCGAGGAGGAGGAGGACAAGAGAATGGGACGCGAAATGAGGCAACTCTATCAAGAATTTGTAAAGTCTCATTCCTTACATATGAATGGTGAGTCTTTCGACAGAAAATGTATTCGTTTATCGATAAAAATCGTCAATTTAATTTGCTTATATATGAATTAATTTTTTAAAGAAACTGAACTTCAAAAACTTTTCGAGCAAGTTGTAGAAAATTTAAAAAACGGTGACAGCATCCAAGTGCTGTGGTCAAAATCTGATGGTCCTCTAGGGTCAAACTGGAGTTTTGACCAAACATTACTCTTTGCTGTTTCAGTTGTTACTTTAATAGGTTATCTCAAAATATTTTGAATCCTATGTATATAATCTACCCTTGAACTAATATAACTAAATAGGTTACGGCAACATGACACCCAAAACAACATCTGGAAAGATATTCACCGTCGCATTTGCCGTAGTTGGAATTCCGATGACGTTTTTAATTGTTGCTGCTATTGTTCAAAGAATAATTCATTTTTCTTCCAAATTTTATTATTTCGTTAGCGATTTCTGTTTTTCTGGTCATAAAGCGACGGTGTCGTGGTCAATCTATTGTTCAGCATTTTTCTTGACCGTTCTCACCATGTTCTTCATTCTTCCATCTTCCATATTTTATTATTTGGAAACGGATTGGAGTTGGTTTGATTCGTTTTATTTCTGTTTTGTCTCCCTCACTACGATCGGATTTGGTGATTATGTACCAGCCAAGGACTACACGTATCAGTACAAGGAACTTTACACTGTCGGCATTACATGTTTGTATTCTTTTGTATTTTTTTAACATAAAAAGTATTCATGTACTTACCTACGAAAACGTGCACAAAACAACAAGCAACTTTTCATTATTCATTGTAATGTGTTTGCTAGCAGTTAACCGCAAATAGATAGATACAAAAATCAAAACAAATCGAAGTTTATTTAATTGTGGTTATAACGCGGTAAGCATCGTCTTAGATATGTTTAAAATATTAATTGAGAACGAATCAAAATCTGTTCAAAAAAAATATTTGTTTAATAGACGAATAAGATCATTAATTTGTTATTTTAATGTTGTTTAATGATAAATTGGTACTGAAGGCAGAATATGAAGAAGGAATGAGGATTGGTGAAGTGGAAAAGTGTGCTGGCGGAAAATGAAATAATTTAAATATAGTGAAAAAAAGATGGATGGAAGTACACTGGATAATATGCAGAGTAAAAGGCATACATTAAAAAAGTAGTAAGGTATAATGCAGTTTGATGAAGGTCAAAAGGTCAAGAAAAATTTAGTTTGTAGGCTTTTTTGAAGAACGAAAGTGCAAAAGAAGAAGGAATTGTTTGAGGGGAGTGGTCTCTCTATACTACATTGCTTGAAACCATGCTAGAAAAAAATGCAACTTTGGCTTTGCGATTGAAATGCCTATTTAAAAAGTAAACAGGTATTACACAGGATGAAAATTAAAATTGCTTGAATTTCAAACAGACGTTCTTTTTTTAAAAAGTTAAACGATGCTAGCTGGTTAACAGAAACAGATGCCAAGAAGAATTTGTTCCATTATTAAAGAAGGCGATAAAAAAGTGTTGAAGATAAATTGCGAAACAGTATGAAGCCTGACTTGAACGTAAAGATGAGATGCAATACGTATGTGTCCAATTTCGGAGTAGGGGCCAACAGGAACAAAAATAAAGAAAAGTAAATAAACACAAATTGTCGTTTTCATAAAACAGTCTTTTGACTTTTAAAATTAGTAGTGGTTTCACTTTCAAATGATTTTAAAATTGAAGTAACTTTGTTGTGTCGCAAAACACAAGTCTAGTTTCACATCATAATTTACATTAAAGAGATAGTTGTAAAGGCAGAAGATGTTTGATTAGATGAAAAGTTTACTGTCCTTAACATGGTTTGATCAATGTTATATTATTCTGCGCACAATAAAATGAATATTTGTATTTTGAACATTGAGCTGACTAGAAGTTTTGTTTCTCACGTAGTTTACAAATAAATTTTTTTATATGTATAACAACTTGTTTATATTCTAAATTTTTGTCCGATTTCTTCTTTCCGTTTCGGCAAGTTTCTCAGGAAAGGCAGTTATTTACATCGTTTTTGCGTTAGATTCTCTGTGTCAGATAATTCAATTCTTAAATTTATTCACTATGATAAAATGTTGGAGGTAAAATCAACGCCGCATTTTTATATAATAGATACTTTCAATTCAATTTATTTTTTTTCATTAGTTAAAAAACTGCTGACGTCAACTACTTGTGAACTCTCATTCTAGTTCAGAGAATGATCTTGTAATTTACATTTTGTCGATAAATCTATAAATTATAATCGTTCGCATGAAATGATTTGAGACTCATTTTTTCTTTTTTGTTGCTAGCTACTACTTTTAACAAAAGTAACATATAAGTTACTTATTAACATTATAAATCCTACTTTTGATAAGTTTTTTCGTCTTATATATGACCTTTTATTGCATTTTAAAAACAATTTTCAAGTAATTTTCAAACATATAACAATTGTTAATAACATACCAAAATCATTTGTAATTTAGTAGTTAACGCATTCTGATAATCAGACAGTATTTTAATTTCAAAGTCAAGATTTGAACGATAGAAGCATATTTTATGCGATATAAATATTGTTATAACCGCTGGAATGGTAGAATTACGCTATATAATTAATTATTGTTATCTTGTTATATTTGTTATCTTCGCTATTTGTCTTTGATTATAAACCATAAAATCTTTTCATACCGAAGGAGGTTGTAAAAATTTACTTTAGAAGCTATATAAGGGATTGCGGATAGCGAAGTTAGTAGCGAGGTTTGGAACGAAGTCGTAAATGTGATTTATGTAGTTACTTGGATTAATTTAGTGTTTCTATCACTGTTGGCATTCGAATAAAATAAACGTTCAACCGAGTTTGTGTTTGAAGCAGTTGTGTTCATCATTCTGAAATCTTGAACCTAAAAAACAACTTGACAATTGTTCGAAGCTACAACACTGGTGTTGGAAATAGAGGTCAATGAACTTATAACATTGGTGTCGGTAATGACGAGCGTTAAAGGTTACAACACTATGTATTTACATTGTGCACGGTACATGCATTAACAAGCACTATTATATATTTGTAAAAAAAAGAAAATTATTTAGAAAACCCTTGTCAGAATATCATAATTAAACGATTTCATCATACGAACATGAAGCTGATGACAGTTAATGTCAGGCAGCATGTTTATAAATCGTTTTTATCAATTTGTTTTAAGCAAAATAGTCACATCGTTAGTGCCAGGAATTTGTACATGGGTGCTTGAAATTTTTGGAAGACTTTTTATGTTTATCCCACACTGTTACTGCAACTTTTATGTAACATTTTGTAATAAAAAACTTACTCTTATGGTTTGACAAAAAAAAATTATTATTCTTAAGCTGTAATATAGAATTTTCTTTGGATAGTAGTGCGTGTTCCAGCCTCGGCTACACTACTTATTAATCAAAATTCATCTTCTTTCTGCTTATTTTGTGCTACATATTAAAAAGTTTTTGTACAAATGAATGATAACGTGGTACGGTGAAAACTATTTTTATTTTTCAAATTGAAATTTAGTTTACTTACTGACTGGGATAATTTTCTTAATGGCGCTCGTGGAGGAAATATACAAGTCACCCATCGTTCGTTCAGCTATTTCTTTGTTCTCCTACATGGACAACTCAGATAATGAGTTGAAAGTACAAGAATTAAATGAAAATTCGAAAGAACGCAAGTCTTCGGTGTCGGAGCCCTATGAGAATAAAGGCTACCACAGCTTTGATGATCATACGAAGAACCCACTCAAAGACACGTAGCCGTCCATATTCATGTCCAATTAGACGTTATTTTTCAATTTAACACTTTTGAGTTTTCATCACGTTCAATATTTCTTATTTTAAATTAAATACGCTAGCTAAACACTCACTCAACACCTTCTATTTGAAGCACTCGAAATTTTTTAATATTAAAACATAACGAAATGTTTATATAAACAGATATATTTCTTTAAATTTTGTTTCATTAAAAAATAAAATATTTCAAATTATTTTTGTGCAAATCATTAAAATATAAATATTAACAACAAGCTTGCAATAATAAGGCCCTAATTTTAAACTGATGACAAAATTATTTCATTAAATTTCAGCAATGATTTCTCGAAAGTGCGAATGAACCT